GTCAGGTCGTCTGGTATTCCCATCTCTTTCAGAATTTTCCACAATTTGTTTTGATCTGTACAGTCAAAGGCTTTAGTATAGTCAATGAAGTAGAAGTATGTTTTCGTAGAATTTTCTTGTTTTTTCTATGCTCTAGTGGATGTTTGTAATTTGATCTCTGGTTCCTTTGCCTTTTCTAAACCCAGTTTGTACATTTGGAAGTTCCTAGTTCAAATATTGTTGGAGCTTAAAGATTTTGAACATTACTCTGCTAGCATATGAAATAAGTACAATTGTGCAACAGTTTGAACATTCTTTGGCATTGCCTTTCTTTGGGATTGGAATGAAAACTGACTTTTTCCAGTCCTGTGCTCACTGCTGAGTTTTCCAAATTTGCTGGCACATTGAGTGCAACACTTTAACAGCATCATCTTTTAGGATTTGAAATAGCTCAGCTGGAATTCCATTACCTCCACTAGCTTTGTTCATAGTGATACTTCCTAAGGTCCACTTGACTTCTCATTCCAGGGTGTCTGGCTCTAAGTGAGTGTTCACACTGTCATGGTTATCCGGGCCATCAAGATCTTTTTTGTATAGTTCTTCTGTGTATTCTTCCCACCTCTTCTTAATATCTTCTGCTTCTGTTATGTCCATACTGTTTTTGTTCTTTATTGTGTTTACCTTTTCATGAAATATTCTCTTGGTTGGTATTTCTGATTTTCTTAAAGAGATCTCTAGTCTTTCCCATTCTTTTGTTTTCATCTATTTCTTTGCATTTTTTGCTTAAAAAGGCTTTCTTATCTCTCCTTGCTAGTCAATGGAACTCTTTGTTCCATTATCCTCTGCCATTTCTGAGACAACTTCATAATTCCATCTTCAGGAAACTTTTTATCTTTTTGAGCAAAGAACTGTTCCAGGTGCCTTTTACCATCTTCCAGGGAATTGAAATTTCTTTAATTAAGAAAATTTTGTAAAGACTAAAATAAAATGGACATCTGAAGGTGCAATATCTGGTGAATATGGCCAATGAATCAGAAATTCTCAGCCAAGCTGTAACAGGTTTTGCCTGATCATCAAAGAAACACATGCTTATGTATTATTATCCTGATGGAAGATTATGCATTTTCTGTTGACTAATTCCAAATGCTTTTCTTCAAGTGTTGCTTTCACTTCATCTAGTTGGGAATAGTACTTGTTGAAATTAATCATTTGGTTTTCTCCAAGGAGCTCATAATAGAGGATTCTCTTCCTATTGTACCATATATGCAGCATCACCTTTTTTGGATGAACATTGGCCTTTGGTGTGGTTAGTAGTGGCTCATTTCTCTTGCCCTATGATCTCTTCCATTCCACATTATTGTACAGTATCCACTTTTGTCACTCATCATGTTTTCTTTTAAAATTGGAATGTTTTTGTTAACATTTCAGTAGAGAATTGCAGGTGGAAATATTGCAAAGAAGGTTTTTTTTTTCCACTTAACTATGTGGGACCCAGACATCAAAAACAAATTTTCAAGAAATCTGGAAACCATTGTGTTGTTTCTCTAACAGGCAAGGGATGATGGCATTGTTTTCATACTTCTTTTATCTTTGATGCCGAAAGCTTGGCTTCTCTGTACAGCAGTGCCAAATCAAATGTCAGAGACAGAGTTTTGGGTAAAGTAGAGAAGAATCTCTTTATTGCTTTGCCAGCAAAGGATGACATGGTGACCTCATGCCCACAAAACCATGTGTCCCTTCTTGGGAAAAAGAGAAGTTCTATAATAATTGTTCAAAGAGGGCATTATCAGACATCAAAAAATTAATGTAATGAAGTTGGTGCAAATGGTTTTCACTGCTTAGGTTGGATAGTTTTGAGTATATTGATTATCTCTCATGTGATGTATCAGTCTGTGGACATTCTGATGGGTTGGTGGTGAGATAAGTAGGAATCAGCATCATCAAACTTCAGGTTCAACTGTTCTGGGATCTACATGCTTGTGGGCAGCATACCATCATTAATCATCTACTTCTCCCACCTGGAGGGAATTTCAGTATCTGCAAAATAGTTCAAAAATATTGTTGTGCGTATCCTTTGATGTGGAAACAGGACCTTGCTCCAAGGCTGCTTTTGACTGTTTCACCTCCCTTCCATAATTAACAACTGCTTGCATCTGCCCATTGGAACTCAGGGAAAGTCATGGAGGCTGAATAAAGGCTGTTTCTATAATGAAAGAAATGGGGGGACAAAAAAGGCCTTGTGACCAGGAGCCCCACAGGACCCTGCACGGTATCAAAATTTGATGAATGTAGAACTAAACCTTTTTGGCAAAGTGTCGCCTAGTGCTCAACATTATTTTTAGACTGTCTCGTTTTTAACTGAGTTTTCTTTCACCATTGCTTATGTCTTCTTATTCTTGGGCCATTATATGTCCATGCATGTGTGTCCAAGCCTGCTTCTAACTCTTCATGAGTCCCCTGGGTTTAGAAACAATCCCTTCTCTTTTCTGCTCTCCATTTCTCTCCATAAAAGAGGATCTTATTTATGATCCCTGAATGCTTAACTAGTTCAGTGGGTAGTAGGAAGGGGGTCTTGTACTAAGTATTTAATGGAGTGATGTAGAAGACATCTGGTTTTCATAATAAATTGTTGTTGTTCAGCCCCTCAGTCATGTCCAACTCTCTGACACCATGGACTGCAGCATGCCAGGCTTCCCTGTCCTTCACCATCTCCCAGAGCTTGCTTAAACTCATGTCCATCGAGTCAGTNGCTCAGACTCTAGGTTGCTCTGCTGGGAACTGTCTGATGCAGGCCCTGGTTTACATGCACTTCCCAGGTCTAAGCCGCTCAGGTTCAGGGTGTCGGGTACTCCTAAGGCGCAGACTTGGTTGGGCCTGCGTTTTGCGACCGGCCCAGGCCCAAGCAGCTCAGGTGACCAGGTGCTTGGCACGTGTATTCACCCCCAGTTGGAGGCTGCGGCTTACCCCCTCTCCCGTTCCAGCCGCTGGTTTTCTGGGTGTACAGTGTGCGCGCCTTCTTAGGTCTGCCCTGTGTCTATTCTGGGGAGCTGGTCTCTGATCCTCCCAGCAGATGACGACCGTCCAGAAGCCCAAGAAGTCTTGGTTAGCAGAGAAGTCAGTTTGGTATCGGATGCCTCTCTGGGGCCGATTGCCCCCTTCCGGCTCTGGCTTTCCTCGCCTGCCTGTCTCGGGTGGGGGGATGGGCTGGTCTGCAGCCGGCTAGCTTTGCTTGGTCCTTTGTTCTGTGAGCGGGCCTGGCGGTGTCTTAGGTTAGGGCTTTTCCTGTGATCGCAGGATAGCTATCCCACAGTCTGGGTTGCTGTCTCAAGCTAGATCCCTCAGATTGCCCTCAGGGCATTTGGGCCTGGTCCTTACCCTAAGCAATGCAGCCCGCTCCTCCCTGTCCCTCCCCCACCCCCCGCTTGCTAGTGGGGGATGCCAGCGGCTGTTAGGCAGGTAATCTGTGCGTTTTAATTATTTATTTATTTTTCCTCCTGGTTATTTTGCCCTCTGAGGTTCCAAGGCTCGCCACAGACCCACCAGAGTGTGTTTCCTGGTGTTTGGAAACTTCTCTCATCTCTGTCCCTAGCTCTTTTGTCTCTTTTTATCTTTTATATTTTGTCCTACCTCCTTTCGAAGACAATGGGCTGCCTTTCTGGGTGCCTAATGTCCTCTGCCAGCAATCGGAAGTTGTTCTGTGGAATTTGCTCGGCGTTCAAATGTTCTTTTGATGAATTTGTGGGGGAGAAAGTGGTCTCCCTGTCCTATTCCTCCACCATCTTAGGACCACTTCCTCCTTTCCCAATTTTGAACCAGTCTGTTGTTCCTTGTCTGGTTCTAACTGTATTTTCTTGACCTGCATACAGGAGGTCAAGTAAGGAGGCAGGTAAGGTGGTCTGGTATTCCCATATCTTTAAGAATTTTCCACAGTTGTGATACACACAGTCAAAGGCTTTAAGCATAGTGGTTATAAATGGTGGTATGGAAATTACCTCAGGATTAACTTGCTACATATGACAAGCAGGAATGGATTTTGGGTTAGAGGGCCCTTTTACAGTTGCCTTGGTCGACTCACCTCTTTAAAATCCCTCTTTTGTCTTGCATTTCCTTGGCATTTTGTGTAATTTGTGTTCTGATTATTTCCTACGTGAGAGGTGTGTCCTTCCTGAGGGCAGGGGCAGGCCCTGGAGTGCTTGTGAATGAGTGCTATGAACCTGGCAGTTAGCCTAATGGGATAACACTGTGTTCTAGTCATGAGTCGAAATTCAAAAGGGAAAGAAACTGCTTTAAAGCATTGTCAACTAAAAAAATGCACACATTAGAAGTGTGCATTATGTTTTACTCATTGGACTTTTGGAGCCCAGGGGGTAGCCTCTCGGATCTTTCTGAGGAAATGATCTGAAGAAATAAGAGAGGAGCCAGGGTATGGAGGAGTTTTTGCAAAAATACAAAATAAAAAAAAGCAGGTAGTCGGAACATCTAAAGATGAAAAACCTGACAAGTCATTTTAGTGCTTTTCTGTGTATGGGAAGATACACGAATCTGGGCTCATTGAAATCATTCCTTTATTATATATTAGTTTGCCTGTTTTTTTTTTTTTTCCCCCTATTCTGAATTCCCTCATGGTGTACAGTCTGGGGTGGCCTACAGTGACTGATGGCTGCAACATCCTTTGTTGACTGAGTTGGCAGATGACATTCTTTATCCACAGCATGGACCAAAAAATGGCATGGACAGCATCAGACTGTGAATCTATAATGCCACAGGTGTTAAGAGTTCATGCAGTTTAACATGTGGCATGTTCATCACCATGATGTAATTTTCAGGTATAAGTGGGTAACAGAGGTACTTTGTATGGTTTGTTCAGGTAAGCTTTTACGGGAGGTAAGAGAATATTGTAGGTTTGCTGAAGGGGCTGACCATTTTGCCTACTGAATACAGTGAGTGGCTGGCCATCTGCCTGGCCTTGGTGTTTCTGCTGGGTGTCTGGTGCAGTGTCAACATTGCTCCTTTTATTTTAGGTGAGATGAGTGAGAGCCGAGCAAAGAGAGTTCGCATCAAGGAGGTGGATGGCTGGACCCTGAGGATGCTGATCGACTATGTTTACACAGCAGAGATTCAGGTGACAGAAGAGAATGTACAGGTAAGGGTGACAGCCCATACCGTGTGGCTCTTTACACATGCCAGTTTTCTAATGCAAAAGAGCGTACCTATGCATAGATACTTTGTATTGTGAAATGGAATGTCTCCTGCCATATCCGTAAACAAAGTGCCACAGCTATCTGAGATTCTGGCTCTCCACTGTGAATTTCTAAGCAATGCTGGCAAGCAGCAGCCGTAAATTCCTGAGCCATGCTGACAAGCGGCCCCACTCCCTACGAAAGGAACTTAAGGATGTCACAGCCATCAGCAATTACAGCCCTCCTGTGTGAACCAGAAGGCCCCAAGGGAATTCAAGAGCGAAAAAGATCTCTGTAAATATGCTGTATGCTGACCCCAGTTAGCTGAGATGCATATGAAAGGCATGACTTCAATAATCCCAAACGCTTGCACCTTCCCTACATAGAAGAATGCTAAATTCCTTAACTTGATATCTGATTTTTCTTACTTACCAATAATCTTTGATGTTCAGACTGCCTGCCCACCTTGTGGCAGACTTATAGATAGCCTGGCTGTCTCCCTCCTGCCTCCTTGGAGCAGTCTCTCAGGGCTACTGAGACGCTGCCTCCTGTACTCCAAGTCCTAAATATTCTCACCAAATAAAATAACTCTACTTTGAGATTGGGACTATAATTTGTAGTCAACAGTACCAAAGTAACAGAATTTGTTGTTATAACTGTATTTTTAAGAGACATTTAGAATGATTATAGCTTTTTAATAATATTTCTGATTTCAGTATCTTTCTTACAGTTCTAAGACACAAAGTCTTTAGTTCTCTGAATGATGCTTGTTCTTTTATGAAAACATGACATGTTCATTTATAAGTACTGCTCAGTGCTGCCCACTTTTTCCATTATTTCCTGGAAGGTTAAGTCTGTAAAGGGTGTTTCTGATGCCCAAGAGCCTTTACTTCTTTGACTATTTCAGCATCCTCTGTTAGTGATTCTAGAGTTCAGCTAAAATTTGACATTGCATCTCTCTTACATTCTATAAAGAGTGAATGTTTTATATGTATGATGCAGATGTTTAATGCAGGTGTGTGTGGAGTAAATAGTAAAAGTCCCTGTTTAAAACTATACTTCTCTTTGTACTTACCCATCCCACACTCTGTTCCCTAAAGGGTAGACTCTGTTTGCTATTAATCTTTAAGACTGTTTTCTGTGCAGTTACACACACACATACACAAGTTTCTTGACAAAAGTATATTTTTATTATACCTGCTGTTCTGTAACTTGCTTTTTCACTGAGCAAAGTGTCTTGAAATTCTTTGTATGTCAATACATACGGGTCCAGCTCATTTCTTTTGTGGGCTGTCCCATGTGTTAGTTAGCATACATGGTTTTTCACCTTTACAAAAAATGTTGCAGTGAACGAGCATTTTTATATTTGCATTAAATTTCGTGGGATAGATTCTTCAACATATAATTGCTGACTCAAAAGGTACAGGCATATTTTAATTTCTGATAGACGTGCCAGACTGCCATCTAAAAGTCTGTATTTATTTATACTCCTTCCAATAGATTAGCTGTGTTTTGAGGATAGCAAAAAGAACTAGGGCTAACTTCTTAAGAAATAATCTGTATAAATTCTACTTGCACAAATAGGAAATCTTCTGTTCCTTGTAATTATGGCATATGAAATATGCCACAGAATATTTGAGTTGGGAGACTGAAATCTTTGCACTTTAACTTGTTAGGACATGCTGTTATTAAATTTTATATATTGGCAGTGGTGAGGCCTCCTGGTGATCCTTGCTAGATAGTCTCAATAAACCTCTGCTTGGAAGTCCGATTCATAAGGTAAAGCATTTGAAAAGCCTTGGTTGATCCTGAGGTCATATATAAAGGTGTGAATCAGATGCTCTGTGAACATTTTTTTAAACATGGAGGAAATGTTTGGTACATGTTACCTCATTCTGATCTTTTCTGTATCAGTAATGCTGTTTGTTGGATTTCTGGGGCATTATTTCAATAAGAACCCTGATCTTGGGTTTCTTTTGTCCCTTCTTTTTATTAGTTTTAGTGCAGAGTCTCATTGTGTCCCGTATCTGGCCTTCAGTAAATGAGCTACTGATTGGTTTCTTTGATTCACATAATGTGTCACCTGGGTAAAATTACAAAAGATGGTTTAGGCCTAGAAAACTGGACTGTGTGAATTCAGCCCTGAATGCTGTTTGTAGTAATTCTTGCAGTAAAGACATTGGCCTGTGAGGAACTGGGAATGCCTTTCATGTTTCTTTTAATAGCTGTCGTGTTCCAGTCCTGAAATGTTAGTCATCACACCTCTCAGAAAACCTCTTGTCCTGCTAATTTCCCTTTGTATGTATTGCTGACTCTTACAGGAATACATTCAAAGAGTTGTATTTGGTTGTATTGTTTTGTTGTTTTTTGGAAGAGGTATGTAGGTGTATCTTGGTATATGAAGCCTTATTTTATGCTCCGTTGAAGAATACTTACTTTGGAAAAGTCAGTTTGGAAATAAAATTGGTTAAAACAAGCTACCTTTTCCATAACAAGTATTTTTTAAAAGTACAAAGTAAGGGCTTAACTCTTAAGATATGCTAAACTGCTGTTTCCTCTATTTTGTGTATGTTTGTCTGTCTGCATTCTGGAGATCTTTCTTCTAAATGCTTTTCACCTTAAGGAAAGAAACAATTCTGGGGAGGTATATGGTGTTCTTATTAATGTGAAGCTGAAGTTTTCAATGGCCCTAACTAGAAGTCCTGCTCTGAGTATATCTGCCTTGAACGTGTTGGCAATGGGGATAGAACTTTCTGTAGTTCAATGGTTTATTGTTGTGGGTTTTCTCATGAGACCTAGAATCATATCTTTTGTCGGGTAGGTAGGTAAACTTCCTTTTGTACATTTCTCTTTAATAATAAAGTATGGTCTTAGGATAGCAGGTATCTTAGTATTCTACTTTGGGATTGCATGTTTTATATAGAATCATACATAGTGCCATAGAATGCTGAGCAACTGACTCTTCACAGCTGTCTTTATAGAGTCTGCTGGTGACAGAGCAGGACCATAAGCCTGATTTCCCTGATTCCTAGTTAAGGGTCACTTCTGTGATACCATACAGTCTCCTTATTATACAAACTTAAAATATAGAAAAAAACTGTTTGAAGTGAAGGTTATGTTAACTTTGAGTTGGAATGAGCCAATTAAGTAGTTTGATAAGTTAATTCTAAAGGAGGAATAAATGTCACTTTATTATATAAGTATTAATAATAGGGTTTTACATTTTGACTGTTTAAGGTTTCGTGATTTTTTTTTTTTTTTTTGGTATTGCTGTTGGTTTTTGTTTAGGTTTTCAAATTTTGATTTTGACTTTGAGTAGTTGCTTTTAATTGCTTTAATAATTTGAGTCAAGTGAATTTTTTTAAGAGAAATAAAAGGAGAATATTTTACCATGACCACACTTTTAATTGAACTTTTATTTGCTGTTGTTGCTGTTGAATAATGTAAATTACTTGTGTCTAGTGTATCCAATCAAATTTTATGAACTTTATAAATCTGGGAACAGAGAAAATAAAGCCAAAGGCTACTATAAAAGTGGTCTTTTAAACTTTTTTGGGGTCATGGAATCTTTGATAAGCTGATGAAAAACTGCGAACTTTTTCCCAAGTAAAGTGCACTAAAGCATATATGCACAGAGTTCTGCATACATGTTCAGAGAATTCTTGTACTTTGTCTCCCCTTATCTCTCCCATTGAAAATACTTGACTCTGTGTATGTGTGTGTGTGTGTATGCAGGGTTTTTACATGGGTTTATTTTCAGTTGTATGCTAGGCATTTTACATATGCCTTTGTTGATACTCATCAGCATAGTAGATAGGTATTACTCCATTTTTCAAATGAGGAATCTCAGGAGGGTTAAGTAATATTAGTTCCAGCATCACACAACAACTATTAAGTTGTTGTTAACTACTAGTGTTACTTAAAAAGTTTGTGAATTTAAAAATAAAAGCACATTTATAACTCAAAAAAATTTTTTAGTATCCCCCAAATTATTGAAGGTTTTATATTCTTCATTTGATGTGTTGATTAACATGTTGAAGAATCCTAGAGAATACTGAATTTTTAAAAACATTCACTTCAGTGCTAAATTTTTGGTTTTGTTACATGCATTTTTACTTCTCAGCTTTTGGGTATTTGTTTTGACTTGCTAAAGGTAGATAAGAGTTTTTCATTTGATGTAAGTGTGAAAAACTAAGGTAAGACTCTTAATAGACAGTGCCAATGTAAGTAATGATTTTGTTCCCAAATTAATATTATGAGTGTTTGTCTGCAGGTTCTGTCTACATTAGAACTTTTATCATACCAGAATTTAAGAAGCATTTGATATAATTTTGAATGGGTTGGTTTTAAACAGTTCATGAAACTTGTGTGTTGCATAAACTGAAATTATTTGAGATAGAAAAGCTCATCCCTTTTCAAAAGGAACAGAATTAAAGCAAGAGTTTTTCAAGAGAAACTCATTGGAATGTTTAACACAACCTGAGTACAATAGAGGGAGAAGGCAGTGGCGACCCACTCCAGTACTCTCCCCTGGAAAATCCCATGGACAAAGGAGCCTGGTAGGCTGCAGTCCATGGGGTTGCTAAGAGTCGGACATGACTGAGCAACTTCACTTTCACTTTTCCTTTCACGCATTGGAGAAGGAAATGGCAACTCACTCCAGTGTTCTTGCCTAGAGAGTCCCAGGGACGGGGGATCCTGGTGGACTGCCGTCTCTGGGGTCGCACAGAGTTATACACAACTGAAGCGACTTAGCAGCAGTACAATAGAAAATTGAACATGGTGTGTCCATTTTCTTGGTTGTGTAGACTAGCATGTCTGTTTGAGATCAGAAGTGTCAGTGGTGTGTCATTGTCAAGCCTTTTACTTGAGGGCGCCTGAAAGGAGGGTATTTCAGGAAAGGCTACCACGGTAGGATGCCTGTTGATACAATTGGGCACTTAATCAAAAAAAGGCTGTTCAA